CATGTTTTTACTTTTTATTTTTCTCTTTATTTTGGCAATAGTTCTGTTCTATTAATGTTCTAAAATTTGGTCCTAAGACTAAAACATGCTGATATATAAGATCTCGAATTTGATAGAGAACACTGAGGCAGATTCTTTCTGGAGGCCACAAGATTTATTTAAAGCCAGAGAAAGTATGGCAGGGTCCAAGTGAAAAGAAAGGATTTCAGATGCCCAGAAGAGCAAACAAGTGTATTAGACCTTGGGGAGAAGGATAGGGTAAGCTTGCAATGTGAGGAAGGAGTGTTGTTAATGTGTGACTTCAGGGGTGTGGAGGAGGAGCACATTTAGCGAAGGTGTTTTCATTAGGCCCTGGTATACCTCTGAGTCTGGTAGCTTGAGGTGTAGAAGCTCCCTTGTCTTGACAGTATGGATAATTTAGGGAGTTGGTTTACAATCTCTCCCTGTAGTAGCCTGATCCCAGAGACAACTTTAAGGACCAGAGATTGCAAAGGCCACAGATGAGCCTAAACTTGGTCTGGAATTAAGCATTTCTTTCCTGGAGTCCCCCTACTGGGGAGCCTGGTACAAATCCACAGACCTCCTCTTAGTAGGGTGATTGTCAGTGGCTATGAAACTGCCTGTAAATGTGGCTTCGTTAGTCCCTAGCTTAAACCTAACAATAAAGATTATAGAGACATAAGATTTCTATGTTCTAGAGGATAGAGAAATAAATGTCTTTTAGCAATTATATTCTTTCCTAGTTTCAATATTAAAACTCCAGATCTCTTCCTTGGAATTACCATAGACTTTTTAATAGCTGATCTGTTACCTTCCTCTGTATGTGACACAACATTCTGTGACCAAAACTCAAAAACTATTTAATGGGATTAACTTGAAGGAGCTTTATAACAACCCTATTAAAACCTGTCTCTACTCTCTGCCTTCCCACAGCCTCTTCTAAAATGAAAAATTCAAATCGTGTGGGCACTCCTTCCTCTGCTGCCTGCTCCATCGCTAACTCTTCCACTTACCCTCCACCCCTTTTCTCAATAATTCCAACTCAAAATGATTTCAGAACTCTTCATGGACGCCTGACTTACACTTGTGATTATCCCTTTAATAACTCCTTTGACTCTTATATCCATAGGTAGCCCCTCTTTGGTCTCCACGTTGATCCAGTCATCCAGAACACTGCTCAGTGTGACACTCGGAGTAACATCCTCCTGATGCTCAAATGCAGATGCCAACCTCTGCCCCAGACACCAGCCCTGACAACTCACTCTAGATGAGGAGGTCCCTCCCAAATCCCATGATGTCCAATTCCAGCTCAGAAGTTGGATGGGTCACTATCTATTACCCTTGGGTTTCCTCCTCTAACACCCTGTCCTGTAAAATCATTCCGCTCCTTTTATTTTTATATATAAACAAAAAGCTGGAGTGTGGACTGTAAGCAACAGTCTTGCTGTTCAGGCCACAGCCCCTGCAGCAGCCCTTCCACTCTCACTGATATCCACAAGCACCTATTGAGATACTGTCTGAATCTCTAGCTTCACCTGGACTTCAAGGTGTCAAGATCTCTAACCTGGGGGAGTGAGTTTACATTCAAGGGGGTAACTGGTGGCCACACATCCTGCTCCGCACTTCCTTCCCTGCCTTCTGCCTGGGAATCAGAGAGCCTGACTACAGGCTCTTGCTGTGAACCTCCCCTCTCCTCCAAAGGCATAAAAGAGGCTCCCACTTCTGTCCCTGGGCTGATTCTCTTCAGACACCTCATCATGCTGTCTGTCTCTGGTACTGGGGCCTGAATTCTTCCTTAGAACCCCCACAACTCTGCTGTCTATCTGTCCATGGCATTATTAATTCTAATAAACTTCTTACCCCCAACAACTCATGTCATTGTCCCCTTGAACCTAAATCCAAGACTTTTCACGCCATTACTCATACAGATGTTTCTTATCTTCTGAGTGCTTACAGGACTGATTGAGTTCCCTTCCCCCTATTGACTGCTGAACAACCTGTACAGCCTTGTCCCTTTAAAATCTGTATTTACTAATCTACCCCTGGCTTCACCTTTCCCCTTTGCCTACCTTCATCATGGTTTTCTTTTTAGTCTTAATGTACCCTGTTTATGTTGATAAGGTATCAGCACTTTTTTAAATTGTGGAGTATAAACTGAAATGTAAGAGTTAAGAATTTATTCTCTTTCAGTGTAATTCCAAACTCTTGTTAGTGACATATCATTCCTTAAAAATAAGTCTTTTTGAACCTGGGTGTGGTGGTGCATACCTTTAATCATCCCACTCAGGAGGCTAGGACAGGTAGATCACTGTGAGTTTGAGCCAGTCTGGTCTACACAGTGAGTTCTATATGTGTATGAGTGTATTGCCCTGCATGTATGTGAGTGCACCCGTGTCGTGCAGTGCTGTGGAGGTCAGAGGAGGGCTTTGGATTCCCCTGGAACTGGAGTTAAGGACGGTTCATAACTGCCATATGGGTGCTGGGAATCGAACCCAGGTCCTCTGAAAGAGCAGTCCGTGAACCGCTGAGACATCTCTCCAGCCCACAAAAGACTTTTTAAAAAAAATCTTTTCGACAGGGTCTTCCTGTAGCCTCAGTGGGCCTGGGACTCACTATATAGACCAGGCTGACCTGAATCTCACAGAAGTTCGCCTGCCTCTGCCTCTGCCTCCCCAGTGCTGGCACTAAAGGTGCGTACCACCACACCCAGCAAGAATAGACTTTTTTTTTTTTGTCTTTTTGAGACAGTGTCTCCCTATAGCCCCAGCTGTCCTGGAACTCACTATGTAGACCAGGTTGGCCTTGAACTCACAGAGATCTGCCTGCCTCTGCCTCCCAAGTGCTGGGACTACAGGAGTGTAGACTTTTTAAAGTGTATAAATTATAACTATCTGTGATTGGGGGGGCATTATTCAAATTTCCTTCCCCAGAAAATCGAGGATTTTTGTTGAGGCATCAGTTGGTAGTTTATATTATGAGTAGATCTTCTAGTAGGAAAGTCTGAGTTGGAAGGGTTTTAAATAAGCTTAAAACCTGATAAATGAACAGTGTAAAATCTAACATTTCCCTTTTGTCTTTGCATAGCTGGATAGAACTTACACTGGTTTGCAGACGCTGGGTGCAGAGACGGTAGGTATTTTCCATCAATAGTATATGGGAAAGGGTAGACTAAAAATTGATACACTGCTTTCTTTCTCTCTCTCTTCCCTTCCTCTTCTCTCTCTCCCTGTCTTCTTTCCTT